TCTGAAAGAACCTCCTTCAGCAATTCATATAATTCTGGTTTGGTGGTGATGAATTCCTTTAGCTTTTTTTTTTTTTTATTAGTGAAGCTCTTTATCTGGCCTTCGATTCTGAGTGATAGCTTTGCTGGGTAGATTATTTTTGGCTGTAGGTTCTTACTATTCATCACCTTGAGTATTTCTTGCCATTCCCATCTGGCCTGCATGGTTTCTGTTGAGAAATCAGCTGACAGTCATATGGATGCTCCTTTATAGGTAACTACCTGCTTTTCTCTTGCTGCTTTTAATATTCTCTCTTTGTCTTTTGCTCTTGGAATTTTAATTATGATTTGTCTTGGTGTGGTTTTCTGTAGATTCCTTTTATTTGGAGTTATGTGTGCTTCCTGGACTTGTAAGTCTAATTCTTTCACCAGGAGGAGGAAGTTTTCTGTCACTATTTCTTTCAGTATGTTTTCGATATCTTGCTCTCTCTCATCTTCCTGGACCCCCATAATTCTGATGTTGGTTCACTTGAAGTTGTCCCAGAGTTTTCTTACATTATCTTCAACTTTCTGGATTCTCTTGTCTTCTTGCTTCTGCGGAGGAGTATCTTCTGGCTCTTTATGTTCCAAATCTTTGACTTGATTCTTGCGATCTTCCATTCTGTTTTTAGGATACTGTATAATATTTTTTATTTCAGACAATGTATTCTTTATTTCTTGTTGATCCCTTATTATTTCTTGTTGATTCCTTATTATTTCTAGTTGATCCCTTTTCATATCCTCATAGGTCTTATCGATCTTTTCTAGGAAATTCTTAAAAAACCTTATAAGCATGGTTTTGAACTTTATATCCAGTTGCTTTTTGTCCTCTATTTCTTTCGTTTGTGATCTATTTTCTTGTCTCGGCATTTTCGCAGCTTCCCTGAGTTGGTGGCTTTAAAAGTCTCTGTGTTCAGCTTGGATGGGGCAGAGTTTCAGGGTGGAACCTACAGCCTTGGCTTCCGTCAGCCGACCTTATGTGGCTCCTGAGTCTTAGTGTTCCTCAGGGTCCTTCGGTACTCACTGCAAGCACCTCTGAGAGTGAGGTGCCCTCGAGTTTCGCCTGCTACCAAACAGTCTAGTCTCTCCCCCAATGAACCCGGGGTTTAGTTCAGTTGGAAGTGGGATTAGACGTGGAGTTCAGAGCAGTCTGGAGCTTTTGTCTCCTTCCCGCCAGGGAAATCCTGCAGCACAGCCAACCATCCTTTCTCTGCGCGTAATGTGCGTGCCTCCGGACCTCCTTTCACCGCTCCCCTGGGTTTCCGCCTTACAGCCCAGCTTCCTCTGTATGAGCCTGGATCCCCAGGGTCTGGCCTAGAACTGGGTTCAGAGCAATAGGAACTGGGGCTCAGCATAGTCCGGAGCTTTTGTCTCCTTCCCACTAGGGCAATCTAGCAGCAGAGTCAACAGTCCGTCCTCTACGCAAAATGTGCACACCTCCGGGACCTCCTTTTGCTGTTTCCACAGGTTTCCGCCTTACAGCCCAGCTCCCTCTGTATGAGTCTGGGTCCCCAGGGTCTGGCCTAGAACTGGGGTTCAGTGCTGTCGGGTCTGGGGTTCAGCACACTCCGGAGCTTTTATCTCCTTCCCGTGAGGGAATGCCAGCCAGGCACTCAGCCACTCCTCCTCTCCAGCTCCATCCTCTCCGTGCGCGCAGCATGTCCCCATACCTTAGGCTTTTACAGCTCCTCCGCTCTTCCTTCTGGTTTTCTCTTTCCTTCTCGTTGTAGAATTTCCAGTCAGTCATCTTTCCTGTAGCTCTGGGTAATGTCCACTCTACATTTTAATTGTATTTTATTGAAATTGTTGTGTGCAGCTGTGGTTAGGCGTTTACCTGTGCAGCCATCTTGGATTCTCTCCTTCTAGTCTACCCTTGATGCTTTCTATTGAGTTCTATTGAGTAGCGATGTCATTTTTCATTTCTTCTTGGTTCTTCTTCATTTCCTCTTGGTTCTTACTCATATTGTCAAATTTGTCTTCCATTCTTTTCAGTCATCTTATGATCATTATTCTGAATTCTTGTTCTGGTAGGTTGCTTGCCTATAACTTGTTTACTTTCTTTTCTGGTGATGCCTGCTTTTCTTTCATATGCGAGCTGTTTCTTTGTCTCTCAATGATCTCTCTTTTCAGGATGTCTGGTTATGTAGTTCTCTTTCTCCTGTGTTGATTTAAAGGCACAAAATACAGCACAACCAGATACAACACACAAGGCACTAAACAGAAATGTGTTTGCGATATTAATAACCTCCAATAAAGGTTTCCATTAAAGAAAGGCAAATTAGGGGATAGGAGAGATAGAAGAGGGGGGGAAAAGGAGTGGCAAAATGAAATTGGGAGAAGGAGAAGAAAAAAAAAACAAAGAGAGAGAGAGAGAGAGAAACTAGAACTATAGTAAGAGAGAAACAAGGAACTAACTATAAATATGGGAAGGAAACTAATAGAACAACCCTTAATCACAGCAAATGCCAGCAACAAGTATCTGAAGATTAATACAACTTACAAGAGCAACTAATATCAAGTGAGGAAAGGAAAAGCAGAAGTAAAACCTAACTAAAAGACAGCTAACAAAAATATACAATCAAACAAAAAGAATAAGCAAACAATCTCACAAAAAAGCATAAAACATTCAACATACAAGTACAAAAGAATAGAGAGAAAGGCTTTTTTTTATTTGTGTGTTTTTTTAGGATAGTGAAAAGGGAGGTGTGTATGGGCTTGGAACAGGGGGTTGGAAATTAGATATACAGGTAGAGTTAAATTTTAGCAGGGCGTAAACAGAAAGAATAGGGAAAATCTAGAGAAGGAAAGGGTTAAGATAAACAGGACACCAAAGGGGAAAAGGTTAGGAAGAGAGTGATGGCAAAAAGGTAGGGTTGAGATAGAATAAAGCGATGGTGAAGGAAAGGTAAAAATAGACTGTAGAACACTAATCCCGAAGTAAAATAAAAAGCAAATAATATGACACTTAAAAAAATAATAATAAAAATAAACAAAAGTAAATAAGATAAAAAGGTAAAATAGTAGTAGTAATAATGCTAATTACAATTAAAAATCTATTAATTAAAAAGGTAAAATTAAGTGAGGAAGAAAGAAAAATAGTTTCTTGAGTAAATGTTGCAAATAATGAAAATAAAAACAAAAATAAAAAAATAAAAATTAAAAAATTATATAAAATGTGCAGTAGTAAAGGTCATTCACTTCTATCGATCTGTTTGGCATGCCTGTTTCCCAGTCCGGACAGTATTGCAGTCCCCTGCATTTCACTGCTCATCAGTGTTGTAATCCGGTCCCAATTTTTAAAGCAGGCCTTGCTTTGATTTTTTATTACACTAGGGTCAATTTGTGATGTAGCCTCTGGGTGGCAGTGTTTCTGAGTTGACTTCCAGGGCTCTAAAGCCTCTCTAGATTTTTTTTTCTCTATGAGTCCACTGATCTGTGGAAGTTGGCGGGCACTTCCCTAAAGGTTGCTGGCTATCCCTCTGCATCAGATCAAAACGGGTTGATATCTTTAGATATTCCCCCTATTAGGAGCCACGTCCATAATCACGGGTGACAGCAGCCCAACATCCCAGGGCTTCACCTTGTAAACACTGCCCTAGTCCTCCAGCTTCCGCACAGCACGCAGGCTTCTGTCTTCACGGGACTCTCCCTATCCCCATGAAATCTGACCTTTTTGTCGTGCGGTGGAGCGCTCCTTTGAGTCCATGTGTTCGCGCTGCCTGGGACCCGTGTTCTGCTGTGGCTGTGGATATTCAGGCCTCTGACAAGATCCACTTTTCCTTTGAAGATGGTGATATTTCCCCATCTAAGCCCATATGTAGCTCCAGAAGGGGACCCAGCCCCGCTGGGGTGCTTCCCTGTCAGGGACACCCTGATCAGCAGTCTCCCACCTTCTGGAGTTCGCCTGTCTCTTAGTTGCTAACAAATACTCCTAGCATGACCCTCAGCTGCTCTCTCTTTCTGCTTCGGGACAAGGCTCAGAACCCATCCATCTATTCTTCCACCATTTTGTGTCCCCAAAACGGGCAGTCTTAAGTGGCGAAACCTTACTGCCACTGCAAACACTCTAGGGAGGACACTGCTGGCACAGAAACTACACCATCTTGAAGAATAGAACTGCTTGAGACTAGGATCCTAGCCTCGCTACTACCCAATCTGGTCTCAGATGCAAACTGGGACCCTCTAGACATTTAGGTAAAAGACCTGTGACCACAGCTGCAGACCCAAGGACACCAAGACTCCAGGCACCCTGGCTGTGTATTTCTGTAAGTTACAGAGCCTATCCCCCTCTTCACTGGCCCACTGCAGCTGCATAGGAACTGCTAGACCTCTCCACAAAAACAGGCCTCCTGCCCACACAGGCAGGCTCTCTGAATTTGACCTGAGGGGCATGGACATGGGGAGTTTGTTTTCTGCAGTTCTCACTCCCACAAATAGACCCCATGCCCACACATGGAGTCTGCACTGAATTTGAGCCTGGGTACACAGACACAGGGACTTTGTTTCCCCACAGCTCATGCTCCCATGACCAGACCCTAGGCACAATCCGGGAAGCTGTGCCACCTGACTTTGATTCTGGATGAGGACACACCCAAGCAACAGAGACTCTAATACTCGATTCTTGGCACAGGCATAGGGGGACATTGACTGCTGTAACACTCTAGGGGACTCTGATTTTCAGCACACAACAGCGGATTCTCTTTTTCAGCAAGGTGCAGGTGGGGGCCCTGATTCTAGGTGTACATATGAGGCTGCACTGAGCACCAATGATTCTGATCCTGGGTGGGCGGGGCTCACACATACCCAAGGCAGCAACATGTCTTGGTGTCATAGCTCTTCAGTGACACTAGTTGAAATGAAGCTTCCATTATACATGGCCCAGACCCCTGCAACTCAGTGATTGGATCTACTGGTGATAGAATGGGGAGACAATGAAACAATCCCCAGAGAAGAGAAAAAGAGGCATTACCAAAAAAGAATAAGTGAAACTGAGGCATGAAACATGACAGAAAAGGAATTCAGAGTAATGGTTGTACAGTTCATAAACTGGATAGATGAGAAAAATCAATGACCTATGCAAAAATCAAAAAGTAATCAAAAGTGATATAGATACGATCAAAAATGCCATGGAAGGTTTCAACAGTAGACTAAAAGAAGCAGAGGAGCGAACTAGTGAGTTAGAAGATAAGGTATCCCTAACCAGTTTGTCTCGGTATATCGAGCATCGACCTGCAGACTGAAAGGGTCCAGGTTCAATTTCAGTCAAGGGCATGTACCTTGGTTGTGGGCACATCCCCAGTAGGAGGTGTGCAGAAGGCAGCTGATCAATGTTTCTCTCTCATCAGTGTTTCTAGAATTCTATCCCACTCCCTTACTCTCTGTTAAAAAGCAATAAGATATATTTTAAAAGGAAGAATATAAGGTAGAGAAACAAGCCCAATCTAAACAGCAACTGGAGGGAAAAAAATAAAAAACAGGAGGAAAGCCTAAGGGAGCTTTGGGACAACACAAAATGAAATAACATATTATGGGGGTGCCCAAATGACAAGAAGAGCATCAAGGTTTAGAGAATCTATTTGAAGAAATAATGACAGAAAACTTCCCTGATATGGAGAAAAAAAATGTTAAACAAATACGGAGACTTCCAAGCAAGATGAATCCTAAAAGAGCCACACCAAGACATCTCATAATTACAATGGCAAATGCTAATTCCAAAGAGAGAGTCTTAAAGGCTGCAAGAGAGAGACAGAGAGTTACCTACAAAGAATCCCCCATCAGACTATCAAATTATTTCTCAACAGAAACACATCAAGCAATAAGGTAATGAAAGGAGGTACAAAGTGATGCAAAGCAAGGGACTAACCCAAGAATACTCTATCCAGCAATACTATCAATAAAAATTGAAGGGAAAATCAGGAGCTTTGCAGACAATAAAAAAAAAAAAGTAAATAAATAAAAAAGGCGGCTAAGGAAGTTATTCACTACCAAGACAGCAATACAAGAAATGCTAAAAGGAATGCTGTAAAAAGAAGAAATAGAGAGGGAGGGAGGAACACAGGCATAAAGTACAGAAATGGCTACAAACAAGTACCTATCAATAATAACATTAAGTCTAAATGGGTTAAATATTCCAATCAAAAGACATTGAGTGAATGAATGGATAAGAAAACATGATACATATATATGATGACTACAGGAGACTCACCACAGATCAAGAGACTCACACAGACTAAAAGTGAAGGGATGGAAAAGTATGTATCAAGCAAATGGAAATGGAAAAAAAAAAGTTGGGGTAACAATATTTATATCTGACAAAATAGACCTTAAAGGGAAGACCATAATAAGTGACAAGGAATGCTAAAGGGATTAATAAAAGAAGAGAAATAATTTTGGTATACATTTATGCACCCAATGCAAGAGCACCCAAATACATTTAAAAAACAACTTCTGGAAGAGATTGACAACAACACAATCATAGTAGAAGACTTTAATACCCCATTAACATCACATTAGTAAAATCATGAATAAATCCTCTAGACAAAAAAATTAGCAAAGAAACTTTAATCTTAAATGACTCACTAGATCAGATGAACTTAATTGACATCTATAGGACATTCTACCCCAAAACTACAGAATATACATTCTTCTCAAGTGCACAGAGGACATTTTAAAAGATAGACCACATATTGGGACACAGGAAAGTCTCTCCAAATTCAAAAGAATTGAAATCATATCAAGCATTTTCTCAGATCACAGTGGCATAAAATTAGAAGTCAACTACAGTAAAAAAAAAAAAAAAAAATCACAGAAATTCAAACACTTGGAGGCTGAATAGCATACTATTAAACAATGAGTGTGTTACCAAAGAGATGAAAGAAGAAATAAAACATATCCTAGAAACAAACACAACAATCCAAAATCTCAGTGACACAGTGAAAGCAATCCTGAGAGGGAAGTTCATAGCATTACAGGCCTACCTCAAAAAACTGGTAATAAACCTTCTAACTCTACAGCTTGATGAATTAGAAAGAGAGCAACAAGAAAATCCCACAGCCGAAACCAGTTTGGCTCAGTGGATAGAGCATCGGCCTGTGGACTGAAAAGTCCCAGGTTCAATTCCGGATTTGGTTGCAGGCACATCCCCAGTAGGGGGTGTGCAAGAGGCAGCTGATCGGTGATTCTCTCTCATCAATGTTTCTAACTCTATCTCTCTCTCTTCCTCTCTGTAAAAAATCAATAAAATATATATTTTTTTTAAAAGAAAGAAAAGCCCACAGTGAGCAGAAGGAAGGAAATAATAAAGATCAGAGTGGAAATAAATGACATAGAGACCAAAGGAAAAATACAAAAGATCAATGAAACCAAGAGCTGCTTCTTTGAAAGGATAAACAAGATTGATGAACCTCTAGCCAGGCTCACCAAGAAGAAAAGAGAGAGGACTCAAATAAACAAAATCAGAAATGAAAGAGGTGAAATAACAACAGACCCCACAGAAATATGAAGAATCATTAAAAAAAATACTATGAGCAACTCTACTCCAACAAACTGGTCAAACTAGAAGAAATGGGCATGTTCCTGGTAAATTACGACCTTCCAAAACTCAGCCAGGAGGAATAAGATAATCTGAATAGGCTGATAATAGGAGGAAATTGAAACAGTATTCAAAATCTTCCAATAAACAAAAGCCCGGGACCAGAAGGCATCACAGGGGTTTTAGCAAACATTCAAAGAAATAAACCCTATCTTCCTCAGACTACTCCAAAAAATTTAAGGGAAGGAGCTCTTCCAAGCTCTTTCTACAAAGCCAGAATTACCCTAATCCCAAACCAGATAAAGACAATACAAAGAGAGAGAGAGAAAGACAATGCAGAAAGAGAGAGAGAGAGAGAGAGAGAGAGAGAGAGAGAGAGAGAGAGAGAGAGAATATTACAGGTTAATATTACTCATGAACACAGATGCCAAAATTCTCAACAAAATTCCAGCAAATCTAATCCAGCACTACATTAGGAAGATAATACACATGACCAAGTGGGATTTATTTCAGGGATTCAAGGATTGTACAATATCCACAAATCAATAAATGTGATACATCATATAAACAAACTGAGACATAAAAACCATATAAATTATACCAATTGTTGAAGAAAAAACATTTGACAAAATCCAACACCCTTTCTTGATAAAAACTCTCAGCAAAGTGGGAATAGAAGGTTCATATGTCAACGTAATAAAAGCCTTATATGACAAACTTACAGTCAGCATCATACTCAATGGGCAAAAACTAAAACCATTTCCACTAAGAACAGGAACAAGACAGGGATGCCCACTCTTATCACTACTGTTTAACATAGTACAGGAAGAAGGAATAATAGGCATCAATCCTGTTCAATCAGACAAAAAGAATAAATAAAAGACATCCTAATTGGAAAAGAAGAAGTAAAATTGTCCTTATTCACAGATGACATGATACTCTAAAGGCTCCATAAAAAAACTACTAGACTTAATAAATGAATTCGGCAATGTAGGAGGATACAAAATAAACACCCAGAAGTCTATTGCTTTTCTATACACCAATAATGAACTCATAGAAATAGAAATTTAAAAAGGAATCCCATTTACCATTACAACAACAACAACAAAATTAAGATACCTAGGAATAAATTTAACTAAGTAGGTAAAAACCCTGTACTCAGAAAATTATAGGATGCTGAAAAAAGAGATAGAGGGAGACATAAACAAATGGAAGAATACACCGTGTACATGGATTAGTAAAATCAACATCATTAAAATGTCCATACTACCCAAAGCAATCTATAAATTCAATGCAATCCCTGTTAAAATTCTAATGGTATACTTCAAAGACTAGAACAAATTCTCCAAAAATTCATCTGGAATAAAAAAAAAAAAAAAAAAAAAAGACCCCGAGTAGCTGCAGCAATCATGAGAAAAAAGAACAATGTCAGAAGGATCACAATACCAGATATAAAGTTGTACTACAAAGCCATTGTTCTCAAAAAGAACTGGTACTGCCCTAACTGGTTTGGCTCAATGGATAGAGTGATGGCCTGTAGACTCAAGGTTCCCAGGCTTGATTCCAGTCAAAGGCATGTACCTTGGTTGCAGACACATACCCAGTGGGGAGTGTGCAGGAGGCAGCTAATCAATGTTTCTTTCTCATTTATGTTTTTAACTTTCTATTTCTCTCCATTTCTTTCTCTAAAAAAATCAATTTATATATAAATATATATTTATATATAAATTGCCTGGTACTGGCACCAGAACAGACATATAGACCAATGGAACTGAACAGAGAAACCAAAAATTGACCCACGCCATTATTCTCAATTAACATTTGACAAAGGAGGCAAGGCTATTCAGTGGAGTCAAGACAGTCTCTTCAATAAATGGTGCTGGGAAATTTGGTCAGATGCATGCATGCAAAAAAAAAAAAATTAGATCATCAACTTACACTATACACAAAAATAAACTCAAAATGGATAAAGGACTTAAATGTAAGACGGGAAACCATAAAAATCTTAGAAGACTCCATAGTCAGCAAAATATAAGATATAAGTTGTAACAATATCTTTAACAATATAGCTCCAAGGGCAATGGAGACTAAGAAGAAAATAAACAAATGGGACTACATCAAAATAAAAAGTTTCTGCACAGCAAAAGAAACCATCAACAAAATAACAATAAAGCCCACTGCATGAAAGAACATATTTAACAATACTATTTCAGATAAGGGTTTAATCTCCAAAATTTACAGAGAACTCATACAACTTAACAAAAGGAAGATTAACAATCAAAAAAATGGGCAAAGGATCTAAATAGACATTTTTTGAAAGAGGACATACAGAAGGCCAAGAGACATATGAATACATGCTCACAGTCACTAATTATATGAAAGATGCAAATCAAAACAACAATGAAATATCAACTCACACTGGTCAGAATGGCTATCCAACAAATCTACAAACAACAAGTGCTGGAGAGAATGGGGAGAAAAGGGAGCCCTAGTGCACTGCTGGTGGGAATAAAGACTGTTGTAGCCACTGTGGAGAACAGTATGGAGTTTCCTTAAATAATTAAAAATGGAACTCTCATTTAACCCAATAATCCCACTTCTAGGAATATATCCCAAGAAACTAGAAACACCAATCAGAAAGGATATATGCATCCCTATATTCATAACAGCACAATTTACCATAGCTAAGATTTAGAAATAGCCTAAGCCAAAAGCAGATGAGTGGATTAAAAGATTGAGCTACAACTACACAATGAAATACTATTCTATATAATAAAAGCCTAATATGCTAAATGCCTGGTCATCCATTCAACCAATCAAAACATAATATACTAATGATATGCTAAGGCCACTCAACTATGACATGCACTGACCACAAGGTGGCAGACACTCCAACTGGAAGGTTAGCTTGCTGCTGGGATCTGGCT